TAATGGGTTCATTTACATCAGTCTTTAGATGGTCATTTGTGCCATAGTTACCGAAATAGTTGTTTGTGCTATGGTTGCTATATGATCATCTGTGCCATAGTTACCGGAATAGTTGTTTGTGCCATGGTTGCTATATGGTCACCTGTGCCACAGTTACGTGGTCGTTTGTACCGAAAAAATGACCGTTTGTGCCATAGTTACCTGCTCATTTGTACCATAGTTACCTAGTTAATTTTAGTAAAAAAATGACCGTTTGTGCCAAAAAAAAGGTCACTTGTGCCAAAAAAATTGTCGTTTCTGCCAAAAAAATGGTCACATGTGCCAAAAAAATGGTCATTTTGACCGCGCTACCGACAGACAGACAGACAGACACAGGTGAATTTCGGTTTCTAGACCCTAGCCTTTCAGTCTAGGGAACATATAAATGGATGTTTTTATTGTTTTTTATGTGAAAAAATAGACAGAAAAAAATAGTAGTTAATGTTGGTTTCATTTTTTATGAGGCTTTTTTAAGAAAAATACGTGAAAGACAAAGAGAAAAAAAATTGTGTAAGGAATATCGTTTATTGAAGAAGTATACTCTAACAGCGGTGTTTGCGTTTGTTTTGTCGATGACTAAAATTTGATTTGGCGTCAGTCCATGGAGTAGTAACATTTTGAGTATCTTTGTGGTTATTATCATCATCAGATATAAATGATTTCTTGTTCTTGTTTATTCCATTTGTAAGTCTTTTTGATCGTTTTCGACGATGTACTGTCGAATTATGATAGTTTAACGACAACAATAATGTTTCTTCGGCATTGCTAGTGTTGTTTCAGCTATGTGGAAGCAAATTAGAAATTTTGTGAAATTGACAGGTAATGAAGGTGAAGCTGACTCATTTGAAATAATGAATATGTTTAAGTTTGAATCGAAGCTAGTTTTAGGAGAACTTACTTCTGTTATTGGATCACTATCCGAAGCATCTTGTTCAATTGACGAAACACATTGTGTAATTCTTTCAGGTGTACATTTCGACACAAAACAATCCAACTGTAATCCTTTCTTTTACATAAGTGGCTTATGTATACCGGATTTTGTCAACTAATCGTAGAATTGTTCGATAGATGAGGCCATGAATCTGTGACAATCGAAATCACTCAGAGAAATGATCACAGATAACAACCACAAGCGACTAATCATATAATATCATCTTCTTACTTAACGAATCTAAAAAGAACGATTATGGTAAAACCTGTCATCATCGTATGCTAACTTGTCTCTGTAAATATTCATGAACTTTCTGATGAAAACGTAGCATAATTAACGATTAAACGTAGAGTAATACACAATTTAACCCTTTTAAGGAAGTCGCAGAACAATATACCTTTAAGCACAGAATAATCTATTTTGAAACGTAGAATAATGAACCTTTCTAGCATAAGCATAGAATAATCTCCCCTTGAATATAAAATACTAAACCCATTTTCTGTAGTCGTAGAATGATCTACCTCAATATGTAGAATAATAAACCCTTTTTTTTGTAATTGTAGAATAATCTACCCTTATGCACAGAATAATGAACTTTTTTTCTGTCAACATAGAATAATGAATTCTTTTTTGCCATAATCGTAGAATGATCTACCCTTAGACGTAAAATGATAAACCCTTTTTCGGTAATCGTAGAACAAGCAACACTTCTGCATAGAGTAATATATCCACTTCCTAAAATCGTTGAATAATCTACCCATTTGTGTAGAATAATAAACCCTTTTGTGAGCCTCGTAGAGTGATCTACCCTTATGCGTATAACAGCATATTCTTCTAATGAAACCATAGAACAATGTACCCTTGTTGATAGAATAATAAATCATTTTGATGAAAACGTTGAGTAATAAATCCTTAAATATGCGTCATATACCCTTTTCATTTTTGCATACCCTCACTGGCATAAACCCTTCGGTCCATAAACCCTTGGAGGGTACATGATATCGGCATAAACTCTTCAAGAGTTTATGGAAAATTTGTTTTGGTGCAAGGGTTGATTATTCGATGGATTTTTTTTCAGCGTGGGATTTCCACCCGATTGCCATAGGATTCGTAATACAGAAAATCCACCGATTTTCCCTTGTGATCAATTTATATATAAAAATATTTGTTAAATTCAGCAATGAATTTTAAAAAATATAAATTTAAAAGAAACTAATATTTATTATAAATTTCAATTTCGTACATTTAAATTTATATTAAATTCAAATTGAATTTGAATAAAATTAATATGACTTCAATTAATTTAAATCGATTTAAATCCAATTCGAATTAAATTTCAATAAGTTTATATTAATTTAAATAACACTCAAATAAATTTAAGTTAGATCTAAATTTGCTTGCTTGCCTTAGAAATAAAAGCAATCTTTTATCTCGAAAGTATGCTATCAAACATATGTTTATGAATATTGTGTTATCATTAAAAGATAACAAGAACGGAGTCCTGGCTCTAATATACGGAATGTTTTATTTTGATGATTGGCTTTTGATATATTATGTCAGTTTCTTGCCTTATTTCTTATTTATTTTGTGAAACTCACATATCTTTTCGACAAAAATAGTGCGTGTAAGTCTTAAGTCAAAGTTTTCTGGCTCCCTCTGCACATTACAGATCATAGCAACTGAGGCCCCCATTACAGACCTTAGCAACCCCCTCCCAAAAGAAAAAAAGAGAAAAAAAAATATTTTCGAAGTTCACTAATAAATAAAAGACATCATTACTGCAGAGATCAATTGTCTTGGGAAATAACTATAGCCTAGTAGAAATTTTTCACTTTACTTATTTTTTTTGAAAAATTGATCAAGTTATAATTTTGCAAAATAGTCAACATCATTGTTGATGAGTTGATTAATATATATAATAGTGCGGAAAATTTGCCGCAAATATCATGGATATGTAAAATAGACTTATTTGCCGATTAATTCAATGATTATACTAATAAGAGTGTTAAATTTAAAAAACACGAATTAAAAAAATGAAAACAAATGAGCGAATAGGAACAATGCAAACAAAAAATAGGGTGTGGGTAGAAAAAATAAAAAATTTCTGTTCGAAATGGAGAAATTACAAAGGTTCTCACTTGGATATCCGATTATCGTGAAAAACAACTGTAGTCAACGAGAGATTTTTCACTTTACGTATTTTTTGTATTGGTTTACTGAGACTACAGAACATATAGGAGTTCCATATTTCAGCCCCAAAAGAGATGCGCTAACAAGCTTCTTTTTTTTTGAAGTCATGTGTTTTGACAATAGAGATGATCAATTTGCAATTAAAAAAGTTTATTACATCAAGAAATAAATTTTAAAAAGATTTATATTTACAATAAATTAGGAGCAAAATCCCATAATTCTCTAGAAAAATCCGTTTTTCGAAAAACCCTTAGATAGTTTCCGATTTTGTTACTATTTGAAACCCGTTAAGAGTTTCTGAAGATGGGTTTCTGGAGTCTCGGAAACCCATAAAAATCAGTTACAGTAGTTTCTCGCATACAGATATCGGAAACCATTAAAAAGGTTTCCGAGCTCACCAAAACGAGAACCCAATATGCGACCTCAAAAAAGCTAGAGCTAACGCAGATTTCGATACTATACCGCGTGTCATAAAACCATCAACACGACAGATATCGTTATTTCTCGATTACTGAAATGTAACTTACCATTTCAATGAAATCCATATGAAGAATCTAACACAAAAGAAAAGTTAATATTAGTGTTTAATATGACGATTTTAGATACAAGAGATGCAAGTGTCGATGGAGTTACACTTTATTCTAATCCTTCATATCATATAATCGTACTGTTAAGAACAAAAGGACATGCTTATATAGGCAATCATGGGAGAGAACGAAAGGAGGAGATAAAGAGTCAAAGAGAGCGAGATGGTTCACAATATATAGTTACAATAGAAAGAAGAATAAAGCATGTAACACGAACAGATGATAAGTGAAGGCTAAATATCATGTATGAACAGACAATTCAACCAAATAATGAAGGTAGATAATGACATACAATAGGCTCAACCGGTAACATCACATTTAATTCTTAAATGTAACTTACCATTTCGATGAAATCCATTTGAAGAATGTAAAACAAAAAACAATTTAATATTAGTTTTTAATTCTTAAATTTAATTTACTATCGGGATAAGATGGATTTCAAAAAATCTAAAACAAAAGTAAAGATGACAATAGTTTTTTGATTATATAACTGAACTTATCATTTGGATAAGATCGATTTGAAGAATCTGAAACAAAATAAAAAATAGTATTATTCTTCGATTCTTCAAAAGTAACTTACAATTTGGATGACATATATTTGAATCTAAAAGAAAGAAAAAAGATAGTATTTGTTTTTGATTAGTAAATGATAACTTAGAAGGTCGATGATTTTAATTTAAAGGTTATTATGAACAGTAAATTCATTGGTATTACGTTATGTGTAAAATACCATCGATGTTTGTTGGATACGATCCTGAAACTGGAAAAAGCAAATATTTCGTTCGAAGCTCATGTATGAAAGTTAGGATTTCTATGTGTATAGGATGAAGATTACTGCAAAAAACGAAATTCTTTTTTTGTTTTTGTGAAATGGAAATCATGTTGAGTCTTCCATCAATATGAACTAGAAGTCATTTTCTTGTTTTTAAATGGAAGCATTCATTTTGGATAGTTTGACTTTCTTTGAGAAAAGATGAGTCGTCTATTAGAAAAAAAGAACAATAATATGATAATGAAGGTTTTATAATAAAAAGTCTTAATCAATAGAAAACGTACAACTTTATATGCATGATTATTCTGAAAACAGTAGTAAAAATCCGGCCTAACTTTGAAGTGAAAATAAAAGGAAAACGACTCGCCTGAATAAAAAGGATTGGATATTTTTGACTTAAAGAAAAATAATCCAAGCGAAGACAAGTCATTGTGGAATAAAGAGATAGAGAGTTCACGAAAAGTTTTATTTGCCTTAGTTACTATGTTGTTTTTATTTCACCGTTGTTTTCGACGAGTAGCTCAGACAAATTTTTAGTTACCGGAGTGTTTTCTTCAGGCGATTGTTCCAGATCACATATTTCGTCTGGTTTTCTTTTATGAATAGTTTGTTTATCACTTGCAATTGATTGAGATGGTAATATTTGAACTTCATTGAATATTTGTTTATCAACATTTTGTTCATAGATAACTGTTATACCACCATCATTATTTAATGATGCTTCATAATTTTCTGTTCCTTCATATCGAGAATTAGATGATAATGAAGGTTTATCGTGAAGTTCAATGTTGTATTCTTTACAGAATTTCCGAATCTTATTTGACTGCTTTTGTTTATCATTCATCAAATAAACTTATAAAAATCTTACAGCAGTACGATAGGGATGAAGTTTGAGATTCACTAAACGATAGAAGGCAACAATTAGAGCAAGAGATCGTCAACCTAAAGTTGATGAACAGACATAAGTCTAATCAAGATAATTTTTTATATTATCATCATCAAGTACGATTGATGGTTGAGGAGTAGCTAGTATCTGTAAAAATAATGAGAAAGATCAGAATGCAAAACGTTTAATGAAAAGAAATACAAGAAAAACTGGTAGATTTTTTTTTGCGATAACTATTTTATTTTGAAAATGTTCAAAACTTCGGAAACCTTTCAGAGCGTCAAAGAAAAATTCGACAACGGATATCAGTTTCCCATTATACCATTTTAAGATTCAGGATATTCGGAAACCATCTGATGACCAAAAAGGTATCTCCAGAAACTCTTTTGGATACCAGCTCAGTTTTTCTGACAATATCAGTTTCCTATAATACCTTAACGATTTCTGAAAATACTATATAGGTTCCTGATTGGAAGAAAGGTATTCTAAAATACTTTCCACGTATCGAAATCGGTATTGGCGGAAACCTAAGGTTTTTCAAACCGCCAGAAGCCGAGAAGGTATTCTCAAAAACGCTTCAAGTGCATGGAAACCTTCTAGGAAACCGTTAAAGGTTTGCAAACGGGTTTCGATTTTTCAGGAAGCGGATTTCTTTTAGAGAGCACTAGTACGAACACTTGCAATCAATCAGCATTTTGATTTTTTTTTATCCGTGGACGACACTGATGACTTGATAGGAAATTATTTGAGAAGGTCAGCGGTGACCCACTCATGTACGTCTGCATATTACGGCGGGGTTCCGAAATGTCACTGTATGGAGTATTGTCCGCCACAATTTCTCGGTGCAAGCGAACAAATGCAATCACCTCTCATTTCGATTTTTCTATCATTCATGGATGCTGTGATTGGGCTACGAAGTAATATGGGAGCGTGTGCGACGAAATAGAAGCCCGTCATATTCAGCAAGAACATTGTCCCTAAAAGAGCTATAATGCTAGGATTCGACAGAAGTTTACTGTCTCAACTAGGGGTGTCAACATTCCCGTTCTTGAGCATTCCCTTGTTTGCGTTTGAAAACGTATCTCATACTGTGTTTTCTAGCAGTTTTAAAATGCATCGATGGGCTTATACTTTATTGCTGATCTTTTTTTAAGACATTTATTCATTTTCTATTCATAGAAATGGATACGGATCTCGTGTTTCTCCTTCATGGGAACGAGAACTCAAAACAAAGTTCCGACTTCTCGAGAATGTTATTGCAAAATATGTTTCACGCTCTAGAACGCTGAAAATCTGCAGAGGTTAGCGATGTCGGAGCTTTCGTTATCAAGAGATGAGAAGGCATCTCATACCGCGTTTTCTAGACTTATTTAAGAGCAAGTCTCTGAGAAAATCAGTCACTATAGGACAACGACGATGGTAAGACATCTAAGAATTCGCTGGTTGTTTTTTTCATATGTTGTAGAGGATAGTGAGTTTAGTATTCTCTGAAATTTTCAGCTCGATCTGATCACTTTTTCCTAACAATTAATCAAAATACTAACAGAATTTTTAATAATTTTTAATAGTGAATTTTTATCGGTTTTCAGGCAGTATTCTCAGTAAAATTGACTTTTCAGCTTCAATTTTGTGAGATTTTCGACTTCTTGTTTTTCTAACTATATCTATTAAGATATTGTCCTTCTGCACACAAAATTTCAGGAGTTTTCGTCAATCCTCTGAGGACTTCTGGAATATCACTTAAATAGTCTCTTTTGCCCTTCTTTTCTGATCTTTTTGCCAAAATGTCGACCAATCGCATTTTATGCCACAACAGTCGTGTGCTCTCATATTGCTGCCGGTGATAGAAAGCATCAAATTCTACCACCCAAGATACCTGGCAATTTGCTTCGATGAGAAAAGTGAAGCACTTTTGATTAAAAGCCATCTTTTTTCTATCTTTCATAGGATATCTGTGAAGATGATGGTCTTTTTACCATAGGTTACGCCTTCTTGACTGACTAAGGCTTTCATATTTAAGTATTTCTCTATTGTAGCTAGAATGATGATATAAAATTCCTAGAAAAAACCTTTGGCATTTGTATTTTTAACGGAAGAACGATGATACGTTTAGTGAAGGGTCGCTTCCACTGAAAATAGCATAAATAGGGTTTTTACAAACTTTTCATTGGAAAAAGTTGACTTTTATCGAAAACGAACCTGATATTTGAAATCAGGATAAAAAACTACAATACAAAAAGCGTGTTTCATTACAAAAATATTTTCCATCAAAATTTCACTTATCGGGAATCACAAGGAAAATTTTAGGGTTAAGTAGCAGAGAAGGAGTATAGTCAAAATTTACGTCCGAAACATTAAGATAAAAAACATGTTTTCTAGTGTAGTTTTTTTATCCTGATTCTGAGTATCACATTTGTTCTCGATAAAACTCAATGTTTTACAATGAAAAGCTGGTAACTACCCTTTTTTTCCTATTTTGAAAGGCACTGACCCTTCTCTAAAGGTCTTGTCTTTTTACTGGTAATAATAATAAGGTGAAAGATTCAGTTTAGGAATTCTATATCATCATACCACCTTCGAAAAAAGATCAACTAAAAAACAAAATATTAACGAGTTTAGAAAGTATAATCTGTAAAAATAGACTACGATCTTCAAACGTATCCTATGAAAGACAGGAAGAAAATGGCTTTTAATCAAAAGTGCTTCACTTTGCTCATCGGAACAAATGGTCAGATATCTTTGGTGGTAGAATTTGATGCGCTCTATCATCAGTAGCAATATGAGAAAACATGACTGCTGTGGCATAAAATGCGATTGACCGACATTGTGGCAAAAAAAAAGAAAAAAGGGCAAAACAGACTATTTAAATGGTCTTCCAGAAGTCCTCAGAGGATTGACGAGAACTCCTGAAATTTTGTGTGCAGAAGGGCAATTTCTTAATAGATATAGTTAGAAAAACGAGAAGTCAAAAATCTCACAAAATTGAAGCTCAAAAGTCAATTTTACTCAGAAAATTGCCTGAAAATCGATAAAAAATCACCTTTAATCGTTATCAAAAATTCTGTTAGTATTTTGATTATTTATATAGGAAAAAGTGATTAGATCGAGCTGAAAATTTCAGAGAATACTAAACTCACTATCCTCTACAATATATGGAAAAAAATCAGCGAATTCTGAGATGTCTTACTATCGTCGGTGTCTGAGTCTCTCAGAAATCCACTCTTATGCACACCGAGATGTTTTTACATTTATGCGTATCTTTGTATTTGAGACTCTTATACGTTTTTCTTTCCCATGAACGGAACGTGGAAGCGAAAGCGATAGTCGTAGTAGCAGCCCACAACTACATTAATCTAGATATTTGCATTTGTGGATCGTTCCACGATACAGTGACCACGATGAGCAAGGATTTGAGAAGGTGGGCAACAAAACTCGATCGAGTTTGTAGATCTTGAATAAACAGTGTTCTCCTAAAATACCTTAGTGGTTAGGAATATCTACGAAACTTTCAAGTCACAGTGAAGAAGTAGAATAATGAAATCATTTCGCGCTTGTGTTATTCGAAACGTTATGATAAAGTTGAAAATTAGAATAGATTTTTCAAGAAAAGAAAATGGTCACACAGAACTTAAGAAAGGACATTGTCCTTGAATTTCCTCTTGCGTTAACATTTTGTTTTGTATTTTTCGATGACGGCGAATAGTCATAAGTATAAAGCAGTTTACTTTTTCTATGATTTGGCAGCGCATTCACAGCGGTAGAAAATAACGGTGCGCTAGAATAAATGACTGTCTTGCTTATTGCTTGATATCTCTTTCGATTTTTAGTGTCAAACGAAAGTTTTTCAAGAAAGTTATTATTAAATATTCGTCAAAACCCTAGAGCAGTAATGGGTTTAGACAGAAAAGCAACGAAAGTTGTATAAGAATGCTGAAAATATGGAATGTTAACAATTTCCATGAGCCGATCGAGCTTATTTATATTTGTGTGTCCTAATGTCAAACCATAATGACAAATTAAACAATTATTTCTGTTGAGTTTTGAGAGCTGTATCCTGTAAATATGCATAAGGAGTCTTCCATTAAAAGCCTATAGAATTAAATAAATACGAGTTTTCCAGAATTTTCTAAAATATCCATGTTTTTCTACCGTATATTTCCAGTTTTTGGAGAAATGCGAACAACCTGTCGACGTATTTTTTGCCGACGGAAAGTTTTGTAACGAGTTTTCCAGGTGATCACAGGTCAATTAGCTGAAATCGAGGATTTCATGAAAAGTCTGATAACTCTTGATGGGAACAAGCTAGAATTATCAGCCTTGTGTAGATCGAAAGAGAAAAGTTTTTTCTATCGATTGAGTTTTTTAAAAGTCCAAATCAAAAGGAAAATAGCTACGAAATATTGTTTTCAAAAATCTCCATCAATAATCCACCTGATTGATCAATTGCTGACCAATCAATTTTCGATATACTCCGATGGTCCCAAATCTTCTCTTTCGCAAGATGAAAACCACAGATCTCTATGATGTTTCTGTCAAAAGTTATTCGAAAAAATAGTGGAACACATTAGTTTTTTGAAACGAACAGTTGTTCAGATACTGTTCTTTCAAGCAAGAAAAATTTCAATGGCTTAGATGTTGGCCATGTGATCGAACAGAATTTGACACTTTTGTAAAGACCTCGTCGGAGCGTATTATTGCCTACCTAGCGAGCTGAACAGTGTAGAGCAGAGCTTGTTTCGTATTTGTATGATTTTCTAAGAAAAGTATCACTTCGGTTTCCAAGATCCTCTTGCTTTACCCTACGTATCTTTGCATTCCACTAAGGTCAGCCGAATCGCAATCCAGAGGAATCTATCTGGAATACGGTTCGCCAAATAAGTATCCAATGCTTGAAATGCATTGCCCAGTGACTTGAAAAGTAAAGCAGTTTGTTCAGTGCTAAGAAATACTGAATGAAAAATGGAAACATAAATTTACTGGCTAAATTTTGTCGGACGCTTTGTGCCTTTTTTTGTTCTACCGTTGTGTCCAATCAGACAAGAACTGACAGTCAAAGTATTTAGAAATAGTTAGAGGCAAGGATGAGTTGGTCTAGTTGAAGTTTGAACTAATTTTCAATATTTCGTTGTGAAAATCGATTCGTTAGGTAATATTTTTATCTGATGACCTTTTCCTGTATTTTGGTTTCCAAGTGAGTCTGTGTTTTTATTTCTTGAAATAATAGTAAGCCAGATAAAAGCTTGTATTTCGTTCTAATTAAAATTAAATTTTCAAGGGAAAAGTTGCGAGCATAGCCGCCATCAGTGCCTTATGATAAATTAAAGACGACATTGTTGTGCTCACCCGGAAAAAGAACGAGTTCCCATTTTACAGAATTCTAATTGTAATTGACCAAATCTCTTCTTTTTCTTATTCCAAAAGATAGTTCTCCTCGGGAAAAGGTTATCCCTCCTTCCACCCCCAGTCTTCTTGAGTTGGAAGATCAAGTAAATCCCTGTAACAAGTTGAAACAACAGCAGCCCAACCGATTTCTTCACTGCCTACATTATTCAGATATCAGTTCTGTTCTGTCTCGAATGCGCTTAGTGCTCAAAAAATCCATGGTACGCTGTTGCATCGTACTGGATCTTCTCTGAGATTGGTAATGTTCTCAAGATCCTGCTGAATGTTTTTAGTAAGGCATCGTACTACATGAATAGAGCTTATTTGGCTGTGAGTGTGGTTGAGTTAAAGTGTGTATTTGGTCACACGTGTGTGAAGGTGCGGAAGTGCGCGTCTGAACGTTGATATTGTTCTCTTTCAACTCCAACCACCCAGAGTCAAACCATATCTTTCTGCATTTTGCCTCTGTTTTCAGGCGCTTGCTTAATACTATGAACAGTTTTCTAATAAAATAATATTAAACTAGAAGAACAGCACTGACAAATAAATGATCCTATCTTCAAAAGGATTTAAAAAGTAGTTTGAGACTCTAGAATGTTCGGACTTTGTGAAAAAAAAACTCCGTCTAATAGATGATCCGACTTCGGTCAAAATCATTAACCAGTTAGTTCGATCCGGTTGACAAAAGAAAATTTTTCATCAGTTCTGTGCAGTTCGACTAAAGTTGAGTGTGGTCCTTTCGATTTTGGCTAACGACAATCTCAAAGTGTAGAACTCTACTTCGTTACTACAGAAAATCACTTGAGTTTATTTTTATTCATAACTGTGTAGTGCATAGCGTATTGGGCGATATTTATTGAATGACCGCACATCATGCAGTATAGCGCAAAACCTCTACCTTTTCCGGTGCAGCTTACCATAGTCACAACAAACAAATTACCATTTCTATTTTTACAATTGTTTGCATATTTTTAAACAGATACCACGAATTCAGAAACATTGAACACTTTTCCATCTTAGTTGCACTCGACATCGATAAAATCAAAACCAAGGAAACAAGAAAAGGTAAGTATGCAAAATATACAGCAATCAATATCAAAAATCGAAGAAGCAACAAGAAAATTAGAAGAAACCATGAGAAAAGCAGAAGAACGAAGCTATCAAAGAGAACAACTAGGATCACCATCAATACAAATAAACAACACACAACAACACATGCAAGGGTACCCACAACCACCACCAATACAACCTTTCTACCAACCACCACCAATACAACCATTCTACCAACCACCACCAATACAACCATTCTACCAACCACCACCAATACAACTATTCTATCAACCACCACCAGTACAAATGTACCTGCAACCATTCTTCCAGCCGCTGCCAGTAGCACAATTGTATCCAAAACCATCGAAACAAGTAGTACAATACAACTACCGACCACAACAACACTTCTTTTAGACAATTTTCGTGTCTTGGCGTGTTGCTTTTAAGTTACAGAACAAATCCGGACAAACAAGAATTGATTTAATTAAATAAATAAGAAATTATATAATTTAGGTTCTTACTTTGTAAAAGAGGTTATGAATTGTATACCGAAAAATATCATAGGATAGAACTAAATCTAATCAAATATCAGTTCCACTGTTGATCGCGTGATCAAATAAGTTTTCTGTTGACAATAGGTTTCAAATTAGTCGCGCATCTAAAACTTTCATAGCATCCCATGAAAAAGGTGTTTTCGAAGATGGGTGTGCACCGCACAATCAATATCCATGGAACGAAGAATCGCGGATGTGGATACGTGAGCGTGGGGCGGATGGATACGAGTGAAGAATAGCTACCCATAGTCACACTCGTGATCATACCCATCAGGACACCCACGCGACACCTGTAATTCTGTATGTAGCAGGCATCTCTAAGGTGCGGGTGTCGAGCAACTATAATGTTAACATTTCACCGGTGCAACCAGGATCATCAGAACGTGTGTGGATGTAGCTATGGCTATGAGTGCGTCTGTGGGAGTGTATATAGATGAATTTTTTAGAGTTCCAAGCTACTTACGATGATCATTTCGACCTTGTTCAACAGTAATGTAGAACTCGTTAATCTTTTGCAACCATTCAACTATGCCTCGACTATTGGAATATTCCTCTACTCAGCATTTCAGGTGCTACATTCATCACCTGGGATGCAACTAGCATCATACATGATGCCACAATGATCACCCGAGATGCTACCAGCATCACATGGAATCCTGACAACATCACCTACGATGCTACAACCAAAAAAGCTTGTTAGCGCAGCCCCTTTGGAGCTGAAATGTGGAACTGACATATGCTCTCTAGCCTAATTAAATTAATACAAAATAGCTAAAGTAATACATCTCTCGTAGACTATAACTGTTTTGCAGGATAATCGATGTCCAGAATAATGAGCTCTCGAATTTCTGCATTTCGAAGAGAATTTTTTAATGTTTTCTACGGGCGAACTGGGTGTGGATGTGGGTGGGGTAGGAGCGGGTGTGTGTAGGTGTGGATGTGGATGTTGGTGCCAGTCTTTCATTCATTCACACCGACATCCATATCCCATATCCACATTCACACCCACACCCTGAGTGTCTGGCAAAATCGCTTAGCTTTTTTCCATTTCTTGGATTGATATGATTGAACGGATTCTAATCTATGTTTCATGTGAAACGTTAGGCAAAAAATAAGATTAAAATCGATTAAAAATGACTATAAATCGGTTGTAATAAAAGAATAATCCGAAAAATCTAATTCTCATCGAGTATTCCTATTATTTACGGTTAGAATCCATTAAAAATAATGTAAAGGAAAACAATTATAATCGACGAAAATCTAAGAAAATTGATTAAAGGGTGTGGGTATGGATGCACTTGGATGTAGCTCAAGAAAAGACTTACACCCACACCTAGTCTCATTTTGCTTTGGGTCTATGTTTTTGTCATACAGATGTTTAGCAAAATTCGATAGATTACTATGAGAGGCAACTGGTATTCACTTGTTTTTGAGCTCATGCCAGTGTGAATCACCTCATCTAGAACAAGTGAAGCAGCAAAAATAGCCCTTCGTACCTAAAAAGAAAGTTATGAAAACATCCAATCAACATGAATCTCTCCCGCTGACTTGAACGGAAAAGGATTAGGATCAAGGAAAAAAAATATGCGGAGAAAATTCCATGTAGAAAGTGACGAAATTCAGTAAATGTATGTAATACGCGTAGCTTAGAATATTTTGTTTTTTTTTTCGGGGCATTTTGTCAGGAAAGGTTGGATGGTTATGGAGTAATTCTTAAAATTTCAAAGGTTACAGAGAAAGTTTCGCAAGATCGTAGGTATGCTGATGGAATTGAGGGAACTGAGCAATGAATTGAAACACTTCGTTGATTCGTGTTGAAGTCTTTAGAACAGATCAAGATTTAGTTCTTTCAACAAGAGTTGTGACAAGAAAAGGAGATTTTTCAATATATGAGGGAGACTAGATTTCGTCAAGAATCTTTACCAAATTCTATCGAAATATTCATCAGAAGAGCTTTGTATTCACTTAGATAAAGAAAACGGTTGCATCTGATTGAAACTTTACAAGAGGTTTGTTCAAGTGCATCAAACTGAAACTGATGATCCATTCTCTTTGTTCAATTAGTTAATTATTCGTTAATTTTCTTTCTTGTACAGTTCAATTTTGCCATTTATTTCTTGTCTTGTTAATTCTGGATCTCAAAAATCTAAATTTCTTGACAACTCGTTTTCACTCTTAATCTTCACTTCTCTCGTAAGACAACGAAAAAGTAGTATTGTTGAAAAAATTAACATTCAGTTTAATTTTGATTATCAATCAAAAACTTTCGAATTCGATCTTTGTTAAGGCCTGTAACATATAGCGTTTTTATCTGCATTGAATCTCATTCCACTCACACGAAAGAGTTCAATGAGTTGGCCACTATTGTTGTCACCATCCACAATAATTTCAACTTGTTTCGCACCTGCTAACCAACGAACAACACGATCATTGAGACCATCGCCTACATAAATTTGTTTCTCATTACTATCAACAACAACTGGCTATGGGTGGTTGAAGTCCACCACATAGAGTGACATCTACTTTTGCGCCGGATGACCGACGTTGAATACGTTGGTTGATATAATCAGCAACGTAAATATTGTCGGTTTTCGCGGCAACAAAATACCTTTTGGATAAAATAATTGATTTGATGCTGACTAAAACCATTACCACCGGCCACTATCCTACCATTTTCCCCATTTTTGTCAAATTTCAACACAGCAAGTTGGTCCCAATGCGATACGTACATATTTTCATTTTTATCAATATTTATTCCCGAACAAGACTCAAGAATGTTATCTTTCGATTCAATCACTGTTATTAATGTTCCATTTGGTGATAATATTAGTAAATGACGTTGGAGATGTGTTTCACAAACAAATATGTTATCATTTCTATCGACAAATACGCATCCTGGTTTGTTTAATTTGTGAAAAGCATTCCAGTGAAAGGGTCTAGAAGCATTTAAAAAAATAATATTTCTAGTAATTCTATGCTTCAAGGCATGTCATATGCTGAATCTAAATAAAACTTCGAACTATTAATCAACTTTTTTGATAAACTTGAAATGTATAGCTGGTATTTTATCGAACATTATTCGCTCAGAGGATAAAATACATTTTAGTTCCGTTAATATACATAAAGTGTATCATAAAGATGTCGTGAAATGCTTTCTATATAATGCAGAAATGATAGAAGTAAAGTAACAGCTGCAAGATCAGTTCTGGTAAAAAAACGTCGCGCTACGATGATAAAAGGACTTGTTCGTAGAAATGGTTTTTTGTCCGTAAAAGCAAGAGTCGATGGTCTATTCTAGATATTTAGATATACCAAGACGTATCACT